GGGTTTAAGGGTTTAGGGTCTACGGTTGAAGGTTTTAGGGTTTAGGGGGTTGTTCTAAAGGTCCTTGTGAAGAAGCCATTGGGAATACATTTTCCTTAAAAGTGGATCCTAACCAAACAGGGAACCTACATTATGGTCATTTGGGGGACATGTATTTTGAACAACTACCCAATAAGGGAGAATTAGGGTTCGGGGATTAGGGTTTAGGGATTAGGGTGTGGGGGTTAGAGTTGAGGGATTAGGGTTAAGGGTTTTGGAATTAGGGTTTAGGGATGAGGGGTTTAGGGATTAGGGCTTGGGGATTAGGCTTTGGGGTCTGGGGTCAGGCGCAATGAGCCCAATAATGGAGAACCAAATGGAAAGGGCATGAACATGCGGTGGGAACCTGGGGGTTTATGGGGATATAAACGCTTTTTCCGGCGCAGACTTTACTTTCTTCTTTTGAGTTTAATCCCTGTGTAATCATTGTAAAGCCATAAAGAAAGATTTGTTTTTGATAGGGCTCCTAAAGCTAGCCTACTGTAAGTTAGGGTTATATGGGTTCAGGTTTTAGGGTTTAGGGCTTGTCTTAGTAAGTCTGCTTCGTACCTGGGGATATGGGAACTACAAATAAGGGTTATTGAATATAGCAGGGTAAATCCTAAGCCTAAGCCCTAAACCCTAAACCTTAAACCCTTGCATCCGTAGACCCCTAAACCCTAAATCCGGCTTGCATCCGAACCTCAGGTCGCTGCCCAGAACTCACTCCCGCGAAGGCAGGCACCTACGCCGGCGTGCAGGTTGGGAGTTTCCTTACAAGGGTTTCTGGGTTATATAGGGGTTAGTAGATAGGATTTGCTCAACTGTTTTTCTGAAGAGGGGACCATTGTGAAAAGGGGATCCTCACTAAAAAGGGAACCTACACTGCGGCCTTTTTGCGGAAAGGTATGTGGAACCAACAGCTACCAAGTACAGGGACCGCCTTAAAGAAGCTCAATATACGACTACAGGGTGAAAAAAGGGCCTTTGTGCCCGATTGCCGTGGGTAATCCCGAGGTCTTGGGCGGCATCACCGCAGCGCTGACCTACGCTTTCATCTACCAGGGTGCCTTTGCCCTAAAACCCAAACATTAAGTCCTAAATCCTAGCCGCAGAAACTTAAACAGCCAAAATCCTAAACCCTAAACCCTAAAAAAACCCTAAAACACCAACACCCTAAAAACCTAAAGGCCTAAACCCTAAACTCTAAAACCCTAAAACCCTAAACCCCCAAACCCTAAAACCCCTAAACCCCCAAAACCCCTAAAGCCTTAAACCCTAAATCCTAACACCCTGAAACCCCTAAGACCCTAAACCCCTAAATCCTAAAACCCCAAAGGCGCAACCTTCGGACTTGGACCTGTGGGCTCCAGTACCTGGGCCGGAGTGTCCGTGGCGGAGATACTGGTTTGCCCTAAGGTTTAGGATTTAGGGTTTAGGGTTTAGGATTTAGGGTTTAGAGTTTAGGGTTTAGGATTTAGGGTTTAGGGTTTAGGGTTTAGGGTTAGGCTTTGCAGTGTTGTTTTTTCTATATGAGCTATAGCCTAAACTCCATAAGGGGGATTATATAGGGGACTAAATAGGGAACTACTGTAGGGGCTACTAAGGGGGATACTAGGAGTTTAGACTATAGCTCGTATACCAGGGCAGTGGTACAGATGAAACATGACATTGTTCGCTGTACCTTATCAGTCTTCGAGGAGTGCATAAACCCTGCAGTCTCATGTGACAATTCCATAAATAAGGGTAGTTACATATGGACGCCTTTGTATGATAAGCTTTAAGACCCCCCAATTTTTTGGAAGCCGAAAACATTTTGTATCATTACTAACCCTGAACCCTTAACAGCCCTACATACTGCCATAACCCCCTTTGAGCGAACCCGTGATGTCTAGGCAACGTATCACGACCTCACCCGATCTCCCCTTAAATAGTGGTTCTGTAGGGTTTAGGGTTGGGGGTACCAGGTTTCGGGTTTTGAGTTTAGGGCTTAGGGTACATAGTTTTTATTTTAGGTTCTGAAGTTATTGTAGAACGTATAGATTGGCAAGATACTGCAGTCCCCAAGGATCGTCTACACCTTTGTGCTTTGCTTCGTGGTGCTTTGCGTCGCCGTGTCCGAGCGCACGAAGGATGCACTGGTTTAGGGCTTACAAGGGATCAAGGGATTAGTGTTCAGGGTTTTAGCGTTCCGGGGTGTGAGGCTTAAGGATTACTTCGTCCCTTTGTTCCCGTGTTAAACGCCTCCCCCACCCATAGCACTAAATTGTCCACCAAGATAGTGTTTAATATCAGGGCGAGGGTTGTTAAATGTGGCAGGATGGGCTACCAAAAAAAGAGCTAGAAAGGAAAGGGACTTTCGAAGGGCTTCATCACTAATCCTTGTTATATAGGAACTTCCGACACGAACTATTTTTCGAATATCTCATCATATCACACTCACACGAATGTCTACACATGAACACCACATATATGCATATATGTATGTCCAAACCCTAAACCCAAACCCTAAACAACCTTAAAAGCCCTAAACCCTAAACCCTAAAAACCCCAAACCCTAATACTGGGTCAGGCCTCCCACCTCTTTGGCCTCGCCATTGGCTCCTGCGTGACCGTCGGCGGCTTCGCCATCGGCGGCATCTCCGGCGGGGCCCTCGAAAAACGTTCTAAGTAACCCCCTAGACCCTAATCTAGGGTTTAGGGTTTTAGGATTTTAGGGTTTTGGGTCAAGTAACCCCCTAGACCCTAACTGGAGGGTTTAGGGTTTAGGGTGTATTGGGGTTATATAGGGATGATGGAAAAGCCAATAGAAACTACTATATAGTATGCTGGGGATACATCTGGACCCCTTAAGTATGTAGAAGAATGGCCTTTTGGGTGGTCTTTAGGGGTTGCGGGCTATTATCTTACATGCTTTAGGGGTTTTGGTAATGAGTGGGTTGCTGTTAAACAGTTATAAAGGAATTTACACTAAGTGTGTAAAGTTCAGGATTGCTGTTAAGAGAGTTATAGTTTAAGTTACCATAGAAATTAGTGGGTATGTAAATTACGTCTTTCGGGTTCAGGGGTTCGAATTACTGGGTTGCTGTTGCTGTTAAGGAATGTCAATTAAGTGTTCAGCGTGTAGGAATTAGTGGGTTGCTGTTCTAGATTAAGTATTTAGGATTCACGGGTTCTGATCAGTGGGTTGCTGTGATTATTATATTCATGATTAACGGTTGAGGGTTTAGGCTGTTAAGGAACTTAAATTACCACAGAATGGGTGGTAGTAAATAATAGGGCCTCCTTCCTATATTAGCTTGACTAATTCAGTGCAAAGTCTTGCATCCTGTAACAGAGCGTGCATTAGGAAGAGCAGGATTGGTGTCGAGAAATCATTTGATTATCCTGCACTTGGACGCTTAGGGTAATCTACACCCTGCCCTAAACCCTGACCCTCAATCCGAGCTTCGAAGGTTTTCTTTTGTGAGTTCTATGAGTCATGATTAAGAAGGGCGCCCCCCCCCCGCCCCCCATCCCCACCCCCCTGCCTGCCCGCCGCCCCAGGGCCCCCCCCCC